CACACACACACACACACACACACACACACACCGTTCAAACATCAGCTGATCGAAGATTCAGATGAGTTACAGTCAGCTGTGTTCATCAGACCGTGTTTTAGAAGAATTCTGAATGGAGTCTGGTACGGTTCGTTTGGGCCTGTGACGTAACCAGACTTCATTCAAAAATCGTCCGATTTAAGCTTCACAACATTAGAAGGACTCTCACTCAGTCCGATGTTTAAATTTATAGAAATCTAAACAGAGTCTGGTGTAGTTCGTTTTGCGCCCTACTGTTCTTCTGGGACTTCACCAGACTTCATTCAAAAATCGCTCGATTTAAGCTTTACAGCGTTGGAAGGCCTCTCACTCAGTCAGATGTTAAATTTATAGAAATATAAACAGAGTCTGGTGTAGTTTGTTTTGCGCCCTACTGTTCTTCTGGGACTTCACCAGACTTCATTCAAAAATCGTCCGATTTAAGATTTACAGCGTTAGAAGTACTCTCTCAGTCCGATGTTAAATTTCTAAAAACCTGAACGGAGTCTGGTGTAGTTCGTTTTGCGCCCTACTGTTCTTCTAAGACTTCACCAGACTTCGTTCAATAATCATCCGATTTAAGCTTTACAGCATTGGAAGGCCTCTCACTCAGTCAGATGCTTAAATGAATAATAATAAATCACTATTAATAATAAATAAATAAATCATTATTACCAATAATAATAAAAATCTGAACAGAGTCTGGTGCAGTTTGTTACTTCTGTGACCGAACCAGACTCCAGTCATTATTGTTCTGTTTTTAGATGTCGTGATGTCCAGATTAATTCTGCTGGAAAATAAATGTCATCTGTTGACTCTAGGCTCAGCTCCACCCCCTGCTGGTCAAAAGATAAACTTTAATTTAATTTAAAATGTTCACATCCTTTTTATTAGCAACACTAACAATCATTTTTATCGTTTAATAACAAATTTGGTTGTGTAGCTGAGAAAAATAAATATTTCTGCTTTGTCATAAACAGTTAAAACTTTAATATCAGTTTTTATTCGTCTTGGGTTGAGTTATTTAAATAAATGAACTCTTTAGGTTTTAAATCAATGTTTGATCAAATGAACCAAAAGTTAAATAAATGTCAGCATTATTAATAAAAATATTAAGGATAATAAATCTGTGGGTGGTCCTGAGCTGAAGGTTTCCCTCTCTGCAGGAGCTTCTTGGCTCGAACCGACATCGCCATCATCCTGATCAATCAGTTCATCGCAGAGATGATCCGCCACGCCATCGACGCCCACATGCAGTCCATCCCCGCCGTCCTGGAGATCCCGTCCAAAGAGCACCCGTACGACGCGTCCAAGGACTCCATCCTGCGCCGCGCCAAGGGCATGTTCTCCGCCGAGGACTTCCGATGAGCAGCGTGTCGCTCCTGTCGGGCCGTCAGCGTCCTGATGTTGTTGTTGTTGTTTTAGGCTCCTCCCACTCAGCTGTCAGTGTTGTTCCTTTCTGTTAAATTATAAAGAAATGTTCAGTGAAATAAAATAGAGTTGGTTGTGAAATCAGCCTGTTTATTGTGTGTGTGTGTGTGTGTGTGTGTGTGTGTGTGTGTGTGTGTGTGTGTGTGTGTGTGT